CCGGACGGTATCCACGATGCTCGTCCAGCAGTATCGTCATCGTCATGCGCGTGTCGACTTCGCCGGACCCCGTTCGCTTGTCCATGCCAGTCTTCTTGATATTTTGTCGGTAACGTATCGTTGGATCTTCGCCTTGGGCATTAGATCACGAAATTTGCAGGGGCAAGGTAACAGCACGGCAGTTGGGTTTCCTGTTAGCTGAAGCTATGTATCCAACTCACAACCCAGGGCCTCCCGCACGACAGGTGCATTGTCAACAGTCGTTTCCGAGAAAATATTGTCGCAACAACAAAATATATACCCACATGAGGCCCCAAGGCGAGGTTTACAAGCTGGGGGAAGGGGTGGGTGAAGAGGGTTGGGGGGATGACGGCGTGCCTCGTTGCTACTGTTTCTCTTCCGCNAGCTATGTATCCAACTCACAACCCAGGGCCTCCCGCACGACAGGTGCATTGTCAACATTCGTTTCCGAGAAAATATTGTCGCAACAACAAAATATATACCCACATGAGGCCCCAAGGCGAGGTTTACAAGCTGGGGGAAGGGGTGGGTGAAGAGGGTTGGGGGGATGACGGCGTGCCTCGTTGCTACTGTTTCTCTTCCGCTAGCGTCAAATTGGCCGAGTCAAGTGATGGATTAGTACGGAGAGATTGAGACAGAAGGAGGTACTGGATAGAGAGACCGGGATGGTTTTTAATGTGAAGACAACAACAACAACAACAACAGCGTCTCCGGAAGCACCCCTCATCCCACTTCATACCCTGTACCATACGTTACTCGGTACTGCACCGAATCCCGGAGGGAAGCCCTGTGGCATTATTGACGTGTTTTTCGAAAGGCTATTTCTGGAGGCACACGCCCGAACAGCCGATATCTGTTCAGGTAGCTATAGGCGGGTCTAGGGTGGTGGTGTGATGTGTCGGAAGGGAAGGATTGAAGCCCTTGCAGACGATACTGAATTATCAACCTCTTTGAGATTGTGACCCAGCTCGAAAGATAACCCAAGAGTCAAAGCAAACAGCACAGACCAGTTCCGGAGCATTGAGCACGAAAAACAAGTTCGACTGTGCCCTGCTGTACCTCAGTCAACCTGTTTCACTGCTGTAGAACCAGTGCTAAAACGGCGTTGCTGAAGAGGGGGGTTGTCTCAAGTTGGTTGTCTCCTTCAAAATCCTCCCAACAAAGTACGACAGAGCTTGCTCATCCCTAGATTATAGCTCCACGCAAGCTCCGCCCCTACATAGTCGACTCAAAGGTGGGCCACAACAATACGTCGTACACCAGGAGCGTGTTTCGAATCTACAGTACATCGCCGTAAACGAACGCTTCTATACTGCTGGTGCTGTGACCACGCCAATACAGACCCAACACGACGACCCTTGTGCTGCTAAATGCCGACAATTTCACATGTTCGTTCACAACAAAGCTTTGCACCGGTTCGCTCAAGAGGTATCACATCAGTGCATAGGTAACGCACATACCTGCACAGCACCAGTCGATTCGCCAGGCACGTGTGCATAGAATGGTCCGTCGTTAGTGACATAGGACACGAAGCTCAGCTCCTCCGCAACGCCAAACAGCACGGTGACATCGAAGGACCAAGCTCTCAGCAATATCCGCCCCAAGTCGGCGAAAGCGAACGAATCTTCGACAGCGCGCCAACGCCGTTGTATTCTCCTGCACATGATGCGATGCAACAGCAGCCAGCGTGTTCGATGAGAAACAAAAACCAATACAGATACAGGAGCGAAAAAAGAACAAAGACACAAAACTGATGGACCAATGCTGATGCCAAGTGGTTCAAAGATCGAGCCTCGGTAGAATAGGCTGCCATTTGTAGCCAGTGTGACAAGGGGAAGCGGATGTTCAAAAAGATACCCGCAAGNTCTCCTGCACATGATGCGATGCAACAGCAGCCAGCGTGTTCGATGAGAAACAAAAACCAATACAGATACAGGAGCGAAAAAAGAACAAAGACACAAAACTGATGGACCAATGCTGATGCCAAGTGGTTCAAAGATCGAGCCTCGGTAGAATAGGCTGCCATTTGTAGCCAGTGTGACAAGGGGAAGCGGATGTTCAAAAAGATACCCGCAAGGATGTTGCACATGTACGGCACAACCGGAGCAGGTGTGTCAGTTCCCCACAGCAGCACACAGCAGTTTACAGCAGTAGTACAGGAAAAGAGCACAAAGTATAGCAGCAGTATAAAAGCAGAGGGCCGGGAAGCCCAAGCGGAATCGGGTTACTGGAGACAAACAAGGCATGTCCGTCTCCCTCCCTCTCTGCCAACTTGCCTGGTAGTCGTCCTTGTGCTCCAGGGTAGACTATGTGCCAGCTGCTCCATATCAGTTGTTGAACGCGTACTCGTTCAT